TCTCTCTCTCTCTCGCTCTCTCTCTCTTCTCTCTCTCTCTCTCTCTCTTTCTCTCTGTCTCTTTCTCTCTCATTCTCCCTCCCTCTGCGTCTCGCTTTATCTCCCTCTCCTCTCCCTCTCCCTCTCTCCCCTTTCTTTCTCTCTCCTTCTCTGTCTCCCCCTCTCTCACCCAGCTATCCGTGATCAAACATTCATGCGCCAATAACATGATAATACATCAACCATTCCACGACCACTTAACTCTTTTATTCTCATTAGCATAATTAACAGTCAGTCATCCCGGCGGACGCAGCAGCGGGTACCGTTAAGTTCGCAGCGAATTGCATTATTTATTGAAGCCTTCGTTATATCGTTATATCGGCGCTTGTAAAACGTTAGAATTAAAAATTTACGATGATTACGACGAGGAGGTTTAGATTAGGATGATGAGGTCGAAGGAGCGTTTGACTCTTGCGGATTTTTCCGCTGATGGTTTAATAATTCAGGAGATATAGAACTCACACTACCAATTAAAAAAACAAATGTTGTCGATTGTTGATTGAGTTAAGTGACTCAATGAGCCGAACCTTAACATCCTAATTGTTTTTTGTCATCATACTGCCCTTAAAAAAACACGCGCGGTCTTCCAGCTTGTATGTTTCACAGTTGTTAAAAAAACACCAAAAAACTAGTTGTTTTTCGTCGCCGTAGAGCGGTACCGTAGTTGTTTTTTTGTCATTGAATCACGATATTTTTTTACCGTCGGTTGTTTTTTTGTTGCAATATTAAGACGGCGTTGTTGTATATGTCGCCAAGGAATGGCGACACGATTGTTTCTGTCACCAAATCGGAGACATCTTTGCTGTTTCTGTCGCCAAATGAAGATACTAGCAGTCGCTCTCTGTCACGTTAATAAACATTTCACTCGGCGCCGTCCCCCAAATTAATGTCACCAACTCGTTTTCGTCACCAAGTAATAGTAGCCAACTCATTCTTCTGTCGCTTAGTAATTTAGTGGCACGTATTTTGTTGATGAAGTTTCGTTCTTACCTGTCACACCTTAGCGTAAGCACACCTGGAATTCTGAGGTAGGCAATCAATCAAGTGCATACCTGTGGATGTAAAGTCTGATGAACCCAAACTGGGTCTCAGGCTTGCCTTTCTCTCTCTCGCTCTCTCTCTCTCTCTCTCGCTCTCTCTCTCTCGTTGGTCTCTCTCTCTCTTTCTCTCTCTCTCTCTCTCTCTCTCTCTCTCTCTCTCTCTCTC